GGGGGGGGGATGCTGAGCCTCGCTGCTGAGCCTCGCTGTCCATCCTGCACAGCAGCCTCCCGCGCTCTGCCTGAGCTGGGCTCCTCGGCTCTCGCCATGTGCACGCTGGGGTTAACGGGTGCAGATGTATCCTGATTCCCAGTGGAAAGGGAGCTGAACCGGTCGAGAGGTTTAAAGTTTCAGTGCCAGAGCTGCCCGTCCCTGCGGAGGGGTCTGGCCCCCGCGATGCCTCCGCCGGCCTTCCCCTTCCCCGGCTGCCTCTTGGCCAGCTCTTGGGCTAGCTGGGAGAGGAGATGTTGGGAAGATACAGGCTGGAGAGAGATCTGCTGTCTTGGCGCGGGGAGGAGAAAGCAAGTCCCAGCGCTGGTGCTGACATCCGTTTCCCTGCCAGTGGGGAAGTTGCTTATTTTCCTGTTTCCACATTGCCGGTGAATACTGCCCCGTCCCATGGCTCTCCCTCCGCGTGCTGATCCCTGCCTGCGCGGTGAGCAGGGCTGGCTTGCTGCCTGCCCCAAGGGGAAGAGATCCGCGCCCGCAGGCTCAGCTAGCTCTACCCCAAAAGGAGCTGTGAACGCTGATGTGGTAGTGATACCACAGGCAGAGTGCAAACCAGGGAGAGTGAGAGACGGCAAACGGCTGGCTGGTGCTGAGAGGGGTTTTCTGAGGGCGCACAGATACACAACTGGAGCTGATGGTTCATAACACAACAGCAAAGCAGCTGATTTACAGGCCCTAGAGGAGAAAACCAGAAGATCAGTGGGTGGCTGGGGTTTGCCAAAACCAACTTGATAGCCACAATGGGAGTAAAGGCATTTTATGCAGAGAGATACGAATGTCTTCGCGGTGCTCAAGGGCAGGCTGTCGGGGAGGGGAAGGCTTGGACAGCTTTCAGGGAGAAGGGATTTCTCTCTGCCACGCTTGCAGGTCAAGGACTCGGTTTCCAGGAAGTGTCTCAGAACAAAGTCCCTGTGAACCCTGTGTGAGAGGGACTCGGCAGCCCCTTGCCAGACCCTTGCCAGTAGCTGTTGGGACTCCTGGGATGGAGCAGAGCACAGGATTTGTGCAGAAAGCAAGGTCAGGTATTTAGGGCCATCACTTGCAGGCGTTAGCAGGCCCCAGGGGAAACAAAACGTGCAGGGAATAGTATGTTAGAGGAGCAGCCAGCTGGGTGGCTGGAACATGTCAGCTGTACACCAGGGCGGTTCGGAGCAGAGCTGTGCTTGTGCCGCCTCCTGCATTTCTGGAGCACCCTTTCTCATGGCTGCTAAACACTCCTGCCGCAGACAGACTGACGGACGTTTCCCTCCCACCCGCAGGGCATTGGCTCTGCAAGTCAGCCGGCAGTCACGGGAGGAAAGAAAATAGCACCTGCATTACTAGGTCATGTTCAAGGAGCTGCAGGCATGGAAGAATGGCTTTAACTCGTGCCGCTTGCCGGCGGCTGGCCCTTAATTGAAGCAGTCTGGCTGCCATGGGAAGGCTGCGCCATCCGGCAAGGGTGCCGTGGCAGTGCTGCGCTCCGGGGCAGGGAGCTGGTGCTGCTCCGGGCAGTGTGTCGCAGGCGGGTTGCTGCTCTTTCCCCCTGTTCCCAGCAGTGCCCGGAGAATCCTTCCTGAGCCCTAGGAAGGTCTGAAGATAAGGAGGAATTAGCCCAGCAAAGGGGGGCTGCAGTGTGTGTGCAAGCCCAGGGTCCAGGCCAGACGCTCTGGGGTACCATGGAACAGGGGATGCTACTGATGGCAGGAGGGGGATGGGTCCTCTTCTGGGATGTATGGGGGATAAAAGCTGAGTGTGCTACTCTCCTAGGGGAAACCCGGGGTCCTGGGGGCCTGAAGGGCACAGCTGCTCGGCACAGGAGGCAGGACTTACCTCGAGAGCAGGTCTGAGGTTGCCTGAGGTTGCTCTTACAGGAACAAGGAAGCGGGGGACTACGCTCCAGCTCTGCTCAACGAGCAAGGTGGGCTTCCTCTAACGCGCACTTGTGCAAGTGTGTAGGTATACAGCCAGCAACCTCGCAAGTGAGCCAGAGCTGCGCACGCTGGGGAGACACAGGCGCAACCCCATGATGTTCCTTAGTCATGCTGTTTGCTGCAACAAGTGGAAGTGTCCGTGGCAGCGATGAGCGAGCTGTGAAAACCCCTCTAGAGGGGATGGGGCTGATGGCACTGGAGAAGGGGAGCTGTTCTGTTCAAGGGGCACAGTCTGTTCTTCTCCAGCATCTTCAGGTCTGGGCTCCTCCAGCCAGGCTCAGCGGGTAGGATTCGAGGTGGCTGTTCCCAGCACACTGAGGAAGGATGTTTGTCCCCTCCCTCAGCTCTCTGGGAAATCTGTGCCAGCAGATGAGGTGGCTGGCTGGTGGTGGTGGCAGGCTGAGGCTGCTCAGGTGGGATGTCCGGCGGGATCCTGACAGCAGGCAGTGCGTGCTGCTTCCCCCAGGCCAGCTGGGGTTGTGTCCGTGCTCCCAGGCTTTCGGAAGCTCCTGCAGAACAGCAGGAGGAAGGTGCCACCTCGCTTCACAGTGCTGGATCTCCACCTTCACCCTTCCTTGCACACCCCACTGCACCTGCAGGTCCCTTGGACCCCACGTCCCGGGCTGCACCATTGTCTGGGCTGCATCCTGCAGTTAGGCTGGGCAGGGGCTGCCGGAGTCGGCTGGGGCTCAGGGGGGGCGGGGCTGGGCAGGGGCGGCCGGAGGTCGGCTGGGCTCAGGTGGCAGGCGAGCCGGGGAAAACCTCAGGCCTGGGGCCACAGGGCAGCCCCTTTGGAGGACTTGAGTGGCTGGGAAAACTCCTTGAAAAGGCTCTTTTCAGCTTCTGAAGAATATGAGTCACGCATGGGTTGAACAATCCCCTTCCTTCCCCTCTTCTCCCACACACCCAAAATCCCCTGAGCGGGACCTGCAGCAACCACTGATTCAGAAATTCATGGTATGAGGGCACCGCGGAGTCAGATACATTTTTTTTTTCTTTTTTTTTTTTTTTTTCCATTGCTTAGGGGGAAG